CCAAACTTCCACTAACCCTCATTTCCAATTAGAGAGAAAGGCAGTTATATCTCCCAGGTGCAGTCCTGATTTACTTCAGAGCCAGTGGAAGGCACCTCTTCCACAGAGTTCAGATGTCCACTGACACTTCCATATAGATCCTTTCTGTACCCAGTTAAGTCAAATGCAACAGTTACTTATATTTGATTAAAGGCTACAATCAACAAGAGACTACCCTAGAGGGCGGACTAATTAACTTTTTTGCATACTTTCTTCCCAAAAAACTTACAGTATAATCTCTAGTGATGCCAGGTAATTAGCTTTATTGGGGGGAAAAAAGCAAATACATTATGTCCAAGGCTTACCACTAAGCAGTTCAATCCAATTTTGTACTGTTTCAGGAGGTTGGGTCTCTTTTATGTGTTTCAGAGCTTCATCAAGCAGAACATCCCCTGTAGGAGCATCTGATTTGCAAATCACCTAGGATAGAATAAAACACAGTCAATATTTTGACTTAATTCATATACCATAAACATCCAACAACAAAAACTGGAAAAATCTACCTGTTATCAGAACCAAGGAAAATTTTAAGGAGTGAGGAATCTTTTCTAAGAATACACAAGTTTAAAAAATACGTAGTTGTTAAAAAAACTATTTAGGATTTTAATTACAAAGCTACATTCAGTCTTAGGTTATCTATAACCTAAATTAACCTTAATTGACTAAAACTATAGTATTAATAACATGCTTAATACCTAATTTTTTAAGGTAGATAATCCACTAACCTGGCCAGGTCCTTCACTTCCTCCCCAAAACAAAGTATACTACAGTGTTAAATTGCTCTCCGATAGCAGTCAATTTTACTGCTTCAAGTCAATTTATTCAGAATACGGCAGTAAAACAATTAGGCCATGTGAAACTAAGAAATCAATTAGAAAGCGAAAAAGCAGGAAAACCGGCTTTCTTCTTCCATATATTGATGGATAAAATTAGGTTCAAGACAACTTCTATAAGTTTTACAGCTCTGAAGAACATGTTGACCAGCAACACTACATTCCATTCACTAACAGTTACAATACACATATTAGGCAAAATATGTACATACCAATAAACCCCTTAATATGTAATAATAAATGCAATATCACTTAAGTTTGTTATTTAATAACTTCTAAAATTATGAGTTCTTCCCCCAAGAGAACACAGGAGAGAGGAAAAAAAAAAAAAATCATTCACAGTAACATAATAAAATTTAAGAATTTGAGTAACTGCTTGTTTACCAGTATAAAGTAGTTATATAAGCCATGTACAAATACCATTTTTTCTGGTTAGATAAAACAAGAGCACCAAACTAAAACATACAGATTTGACTAGCCCAAGTCAATATGTTTGAATAGAAACAAAACAACAACAAAATTCTATCTTTCTTTAGGAAAAGAAAAAAAGAAACTACTGTTTCAAAGCTATTTATGAAAATAATGATTAAATCTGGCAATTTAAATAGTTTTACAAGTTAACACTTTATAAGCATCAGGTAAAAAGATAACAGGCAACTGACAGAAAAACTAACACATCAAAACAATTCCACGCATACAAGAGAAGCAGCAGGTGAAAGATCTTATTTTTAGTAAAGCTTCACAGTAGTCAGAAAGGTGTGCTGGAAAAAGCTTTAAGTGTCCTATTGAAACATATCCCAAGTTCAGTTCTGTTCTGTAGTTCTAATAACCCTTACAACAAACAATAGAGGAGTACATTTTCATAGGGTCTATAGATGACACTGAAATGAGTTACAATGGTAAGACAGCTTCAATACTGGCAAGATGATCCCAAACTGGAGATGTGTACAAAGTCAATGAGATGAAATTAAAAAGAAATGCAAAGTAGTATAATCAGGATGAGGAAACAGATGACAAATATAAAAGATATAATAAATGACTATATAGTTCAGAATAGCAGAAAAACCATGTAGTAATTCTAGCAGTAGACTACGAACCAAATAAATCAACAAAAGCCAAGTCTTTTGACAAAATAAGAATTTAATTCTAAGCTGTATTAACAGGAAATTGCTGGAGAGATCTTTGTGAATACCTAACAAGTCATAGCTGGAATACTACGTCCAATTTAGATGGTGTCTATAAAGCATAAAAACTAAGATTTTTATTAAAATCAGCAAGAATGAACCAGTCCACAATGCCAGGCTAAGAAGAACGATGTTTGTTTAGATCTAAAAAGAAGCATGCAAGATATTTTTACAAAGAGGGTATCTAACAGTAGTTTAGGGTGTCTACTTTGGGAAAAATAAAAGATACCAGCTTATTCTGGATATACAGAAGATGCAGGATGTATTGTCAAAAACTTCAACAGGCAAATTAAACATCCAGGGAGGTTGTTGAATTGCATTCAGTGGAGAATTTTAAGACTAAACATCTGCCAGGGAGGAACCAGAGAAACCTGATTTTCTGTTACTGCATCAAGATTAAATGGTCTCTTGAGATACTGTCCAGATCTCCACTTTTGGAAGCTGGAGATTACTCCAACCATAAATCTTAGATATTTGGTTTTAAGAACACAACTACATTTTAATCCAGACAATCCCTATTTGAAACTAAACACACAACAATGCATATTTATCTTTCTGATTCACAAGCTTGCACCATAGTGTCACTCAAAACCTTTATTAACCACATATAATGATATTACATATCTTCCAGTTTTATATTAAGACTTGGAATTTTTTGAAGTTTCTTTTCTTTAATTATACAGGAGCATACTTTAAGTTGGGTTTTTAAGCTGCTAGACCGTGGCTATTAATAGCCACCCTTCAGATATTCCTTTATTAATTAGCCTAAGAACACCCAACTTATTGATCTTTACTTCTTTTTAAAAATTATGTTCCAGCAGTATTTTAGTTTCTTTGATGTGTCCCATATGATTTGTTTCACGGTAACCTTAGTTACACTGGATCACTCCAGCCTGCTGCAGTTGGTAACCTACTACTCACCATCTCACTTTAAACAGGTAAGATGTGAAATCATCTTTTTTGACCTGTTTTATTAAAACAAACACACACATCACTGAAGAGATATATCCCATGCTTAAAAACATTTTTTAAGTAAAATCTTTTTAAAAAAAGTTTAGAAAACAGCTTTTCTTGCTTATTTGGGGTTAAGATACTTTTTCCTACCACTGCAAAGAAGTTTAAGAAGCTAGTCTGAATATAATCCACCATAACAGTATAAGCCTAAACATACAGGCATTTAAAGGAAAGAGCTGTAAGGAGCATAGACTCTCCCATTCAACTCAGTCAGGGCTCCATAAGCTCTTGGGAAGCCACAATACACAGCAATTTTGTTTCCAAGTTCACCATTCTCTGCAGCCAGGCATACAACACTGTTTCTTCTCACTTCTCTGCTACATTGCATATTCACTGCACAGATTCTTCTGATTACCCTTTCCCTCAAACAAAAGTATTTTGGTTCACACTTCCATGGTATTTCTCTTCCCCTCCCTTTCCCAGTACGTGCAGACAGGCAACAGGGGAAGCCCAGCCACCTCTCTCCTATGCTCATAGATCTGCTCTTGAAGGAGGATTTATTGACAAATGCTTCTTGGTTAACTCTCTCCAGAGTCATAACAACACAAGAAGAGTGTGAAATCGAGTGGGTTGGGGATCTTGTGAATTGAATCATCACAGAAGATCAAGCATCTGCAAGGGGGTATTTTCTCTCTCTCTTTAATAGATGAGCTAAGGTAGAGAAAGAAGCTAAGATCCTGGTTCTTCAGAGATGATGGTCCTTAGCCTTACTGCAAAGAATATGTCTTTATTCCAATTTTTCAGTGATTTATCATGTATTAGATTTGCCTTGTATCCAACTGCTGAGGACATTTCAATTATACAGAATATTTAATTTTCTTTTTCCACAATGCAGCTTTGCAATTAAGCAATGCTAAAGATGAAGCATCTCTTGCATTGATTTTTAAGTAAACTTCATTATTTAGTTTTAATACAAAAATTCACTCATGCATTAATCACTCAGAATTGCCAGCTATAAAATACTGAAGTTAATCTGCCAAGGATTTGTTGGGATTTCTTTTAAGAACTGTAATTATTGGGTTTGCTTTCTGAGACTCTAAGGTAGCATAGAGTACCATTTTCTATCTTCAATAACCACTAGTCTTAGAAATTACTTTATTTATACATAAACCTCAACATTCATTTATTTGTTTCTAAAAGTGATACCAGTAGATAGAACTCCAAAATGATGCAATGATTACATACTCTGAAGCCAAATTTACAAGGATGTTGCAACATAAAATACATCATATTGACTTTCAGAAGTTTCACTAACATTCATCAAGTCCTTGTCTGCCAGTTTCTCAGTCTCATTTGTCTCTCTATGGCATTCAAGCATGGATTTAATGCATCTTGATCACTTCTGAAGTTGTGTCTTAGAAACAGCAAAAAGTAATCAGCAAAGATCCACCTGATTTAATGCTTGAAATGTAAATCATTGTAGCTAGCAATCTTTTAAGTTAGCTGTGTGATCAAGGCCACCGTTAGCTGGTTATAAATCCATACTACTGCCCAAAGAACTAGTTCTACCCTCTTCTTGTTCTCACCTTATCACTTGTGCCAGCAGTCTCACTTGTGCCCCACCTGATGACAAGATCAAGAAAGTGATTCAAATAAAAACTAAACTGATCAAAGAAGTGAATTAGTTTTCAGCCAGAGCGGTTACCTGACAAGGCTGCACAAACAGTAGTAACAACCCAAGAGAGACTCCAATAATAAGCCTCTTTGCAAAGATCAGGACTACCCTTCTCAGCTGCAGCACAGGCTAAAGTGACTGAAGCCTAAACTCCTCCCTTCAGACCATGGCTTGAAGATACAGGGTTTTGAGTCACAAATCAAAGCTTTAGTTTTAATGAGATTTTACCTTTCCACAAAGTCCCAGAATGGAGCAGGGGTGGGGAGGGAGAAGGGCTAGCCTGAGGGGCAGAAGCTATATAAAAATGGTATTGCCACTGAAACTCTACCTCACTGAATCACAACCTTGGATGCAACTAGACAGCTCATTCCACTCACTAAACACAATATTTAATTCAGAGAAAGCTGAGGGCAAGGGGAACAAAGCCTGCAAAAGGGGGTCAAGGGGGACACTTGGTAGAGCTGAGACAATTAAATCTAGCAAACACAGAAATAAGACTGAAATTTAGTGTTAATGCAAGACTTCAAATAAGGTATAAAACAACACAAGTCATTCATGAGAAGGATTTCTAAATTGAGAGAGGTGGGGCAAGTGGAGAAGAAACATCATATATATCAGTAGTTCGGGATTTTATTTGCAAGAAATTCCTTAAGCAGAAATTAACCTTCATTTGAATTTTATATTAAGCCTTTTTCATAGAACCCTCCTGCCTGCAAAAAGAAATCTCCCAACCTCCCCCCAAAAATCACATGATAAAATTAAAAAAAGGAAAACAATAATTTTCCTTGTATTCTTTATTGAAGATATGTACAGGTTATTTTTCCATTTTCCTAAAAAGACACAGTTAAAATTTCAGTTAGATAGAGCTGACAAGGTTTGTGTAGAATGAAAATAACTGCTAAAGAACATTCCTGAATGCCTAAGGAGCCAAAAGCTTTGGAGGAAAAAAAAGTTGTGCAAACTAATCAATGCTGAATATGCTTAAATGAAGCTAAAAGTAGTAGGAGCTGTTTGTCTGAACAGAGGTTTGATTCTTCAGAAGAGAAGGAAGCTGGGAGAAGGTTAGGGAATTTGTAAGCTTTCCTTTAAAAAATTTAGCAAGGGACAATATTGACAGGGAAATGTGCCATAGAAGAGAATTTATTTGTGATGGATAGACAACATTTGAATATGTTTTCAATAAACTTATTTTACAAGTATCCTCTAATACTGATGAAGTAAAAATTCTTTAAACAGTGTGACTTTGCACATTTTATACTAAGGAAAAAAAATCCAGTGGCAAAAGTAATAAATTAAGATGCCTCAAATCTTCAGCCTAATTCAATAAAGAACCTTAAAAATTTGACCATCTTAAAGGTCAGTGAGTACAACAAATTTAATGCACTGGTCACATGCTTAAACTAGATACAGTTTTGTGTTCTCAGGGACCCAAGGTATAAGGATCGTTTCCTTCCCATGCATTGCAAGCACTAACTGCAACACTGTGTACACCAGAATTAAACTGGTGACTTGCAGGATACATCTGGCAGGCTGTCAGTTAGCCATCCCTCTCAGCTCCAGCCCACATCTCACCAACATTGCAAAATCCAGTTCCTTCAGCAGATTACAACTGGTGCTACTGGCTCTCAGCAGCAACCACTGCCACCACACCCTGGCCAGGACCACTGCCAACTGTTTGTGCAAGGTTCCCAACAACAGCAGAAACACATCAAGAGAACAAACAGGAGCAGAGAACACATACAGAAGATTTTACAAGGCACTTCAGCTCACCATTTAAACTCTTTAGGTAATAACTCTCTGCATCTAACTTAGGTCACTACTCAGAATCCTTATCCCCATATAAAGAAAAAAAAAAGTCTTTTTCTTACAACCAGTTGTAATTTATAGCTACTGTATTGCCTGGAGCATGACACAAAAGTAAATGCGACCATTTTCCTCCACTTACCTTTCTTGTTAATAGACTTTTGCGCCTCATTCCACAAGCCTCTAACTGAAGACGCCCTCGCAATGCCAATTCAATTAACATACAGCCACGCAATCCTGAGGAGATGCAATCATTCCAGAATGATGTGTAACCCTGTGAAGAATGAAAGACAGTAAGACATTTCCATCTCCACCTGAAAGCAAATAGAAAAAGAGGCTTACTGCATTCTCTAAGCAGTTCTCTGGCCCTCATACACTTTTGAAGTAGCATCACTAGTCAACTACCATTCCTGTACTGAAAACATGAAAGAGAAAACAGACTCATCCCCTATTAGTTTCGACATTTAGTCTCTGCTCTTTGAAGAGCAGGGAAACTTCAGGAAAGTGATACAAAACAAAACAGCAAGATATCAAGAACTGTGAGACATAAAGTGTAGTTTATATGTAGTCAAAATAAACTTCTTATATTTTTAAGACATTAAGCATTTGGCATTATCGACATCACACAGGCTTATTTGAGTTTCCTGAGAAATATTAACATGATTTTACATCCATAAACAATATGGCACCAATGAAGTAATAATAACCTGAAAAATTGATATTACATAAAATATGGAGTATATTGGAAATTAAAAGTCCAAACACAAATGTGGCAATCAGCACAAACCACAGAACAGATTTTTCAGCTTGAATATAGTAAACCAAAAGCCAAAAAAGTTTTCAAGCAAATATTTGGAACAGCTATTATTTTGTCATTTAAATCCTTTGAAAACATATATTTCTAAAACTTGATGCATGTTGTTCTTATATGGACTGCAAAACTGCAAGCCACATTTATTCTATGAACCACACCACATCTACCACACTTTTTCATCTATATTTCTACATTGGCAGCTGTCTGCTTAAATGGCAGAACAGAATATTTGACCCAATACATTTACTCAATATCTAGAAATACATGTATTGATTTTGGTACTCCATTGCTCAACAATTATGCCCTTCCCCCCAATCTTATAAAAATGATTCTATTTTAATTACAGAGTAGCTAACAGTTAAATATTAAAAAACATGCAAGAACAGTATCTAAGACAAAACAAAATAATTCTGAGAAATTATTTGTCTTTTGAGAAATGACTGCAGAAACACTTGGTATGATTCAGAAAGACCTTCCAAAACTCCTCTAGTGATGCATCTCTGAAAACATTCACTTTGGGATTCTTTAGAGAAAAGTACAGGAAACAAGAAAAAAGAAGAAAAAAAAAAAAAAAAAAGAAAGAACACTCCCTTTCATAAAATTTATCCTAACCAGTAACAAAGACTAGCTTAAATCAAGAGCAATACAATTTTATTCTATTCGCAAATAAAAGCTGCCAATGTATAGAGATATCAGATGCATACATCTGAAGTCTGCTAAACACACAAACCAGTCACTAACACATGCCATTAAATATAGATTTCTAGGAACGTGATATTTGTTTCCATTTAGCACTTAGCTATTTTCAAGAGCTGTATTATATAGATGACCAATACTTCCAAAAATTCTACAAAAGTTTTGAATCTCTAGAAAGTAATTACTGAAATATGTCAGGGCTGATCCTTTGCGAGTATCAGCTACTCTCATAAGTCAGCCATTCTGTAAATTAAGATTTTGGTTGGCACCAGACATTTCTTTGCCAAAAACCATACAAGATAAGGTGCAGTATTTGCTTGATAAAAAAAACCAAACCCAAAAACCCAACCCCCCCCAACAAAACCAAGAAAAAAAAGATTACTCCTACATTCTACTATTTTCAATCAAATAGCCTCTTTACATAAAAATATTTTTTTAAATCAGACAACACATATGCAAACTAAAAGTCTATTGGACAAACTTACAGCTGTGGCATGATAAATATACACTTCTTTCTATTCACAAAAATTGTTATATTATTATGCAAACAATTCAAGCACTAGAAATTTTTTTCCCTTGTTTAGCAATGAAAACTGAATTTATTTTTAAAGTGAGTATTTTTCAATGAAGTGACTTTAACTATACCACTCCCGGCAGCAATTACCAGATGTAAACTCCTCTGCTCCAGCAGTTATTCAATATATATGGCCTCAGGCTGTGGGTTGCAGAGAAATACAGGATCATAGGATAATTCAGGTTGGAAGGGACCATAGGAGATCTCTAGTCCAACCTCCTGCTCAAAGCAGGTTCAGCTATGAAGTCAGATCAAGTTGCTCAGGGTTCTATCCAGGCAAGTCCTGAAAACCTCCGAGGATAGAGGCTGCACAACCATCTAACAGTTTTTAATCAAGTGATCCTGAAAGTCAGCTCAAAAAGATTATGGTCTTCATAAATGGAACTGCTTGCTCTAGTGGGCTAGATGACAATAAAGTCATAGAACGTATACTGCCTCACCTTCTGTTTTGGGGGGTTTTTTTTTGTGTTTTTTTTTTTTTCCCAGGCTCAGAGTTTACAGGTGATCCACAAGAAAAGGAACGTCATATTTCAATATACAGAGATTATACTGCTATTATACAGTGAAGAAAAAGATATTTTATAAGTCAGTGTCATCCTGAACATTTTTCAATCCATTTCAGGCAGATAGACTGATCATTTTTGGCACTTACTGCAAAGACCTCAGACAACTGAAGGAACCTTCACAGAAGGTCAGTTTAGCACACAACAGTCTAACTAAATCATCCTTTAAATTAACTCAAACTTCTTGGTGTACCTGAAACAGAGTAGAAGCAGACATTTATCTTCAACATTGCAAACAGCTCCTTGACACCTACTTTAAATGGCATACAGCATAACTAGAAAAAGGTGCACAAAACACAAAAGAGAAACAATAATGCTCAGCATTATAGAGCTACTGCCTATTAAAGAGACTATAGATGGACAGTGAAGAAAAGGGGTAAAGAGAATAATAACGTACATAGAAGGAGAATAGCAATATAGAATAATGTACTATTTGCACAGGAAACAATTATTTTTCTCTTTTTCCACAGACAACTAGAAGGTCGTAAATGAAGCTAGCTCACAGGTTGGAAAAGTCAAAGGCCAATTTCTTTTCTATGTTTCTATTCAACTGTTTTTATAGGAAGGCAAAAGTTTAAAAAAAAAAACAAAAACAAAAACAACAACACACACCTTTAAAAAATGAGTTAAATTCATAGGAGATTGATAATGAAGTCTGACAGACAGCAATAGATCTGTAAGCCCACACATGGCCTGGAAAGCCCCCACCCAGTTGAAGTCAGTGTACACTGGAGGAATAGTCATTCCATGTTCCCTGAACATGGCCTGACCATTGCCGGTTACAGGTTATGGAACAAGGATTTGGTTTGAACTTTTAACACTGTTCTCATAATATATTCCAAATACCTAACAGTCTCAAAACACTTTGATTGAAGATCAAAGATCACTATTTATAGATGCAAATCATTCCACTATTTAATGCTCTTAAATAGCACTAGTATTCTCACAAATACACCACCAAATATTTTTATCTGTCTTCCTACAAGTCTTTTATAATTTTATAAACATCCTAACTCAATGAAATACTTATTTCATTAAAGTTGCTAAGCAGCAGGGGGGAGAAAAAAAAAAGTCTTATAAGGCAGGGAATTATTTTTATCTGACAGCAATCACACTAGAATAGCACTTCAAGCTATGAATAGCTTGCAAGACAAAATTTTAAATCTACATTGATTCAAAGATCAAAAGACTGTTTACAACTGTCATGTTTATTTACACAAAGACAGCACAAAAACATTTTCTGTCAGAGCTGACCTAGAAATTTTCAAGTAAAAACTAGTTTTGCTAGACAAGCATAAAGGGAAATAAAAATAAAGTTTATAACAGAAAATTGTTACCATGTTAACTTTGAAAGCTCAGACTTTCCACTCAGGTATGGCAAAGCACAGAGCGAATTAGATCCTCTTTCTGCTTAAAGAATGTTATCCAAAATCCATGTTCATTAGACCATTTCTCTCCTACCACCTCTCGTAGCATTTATTCACTTTCTCCTCTTCCCATGCCCCTTACTCAATTCCTAAGCTCACACGTCTTCCTGTTCAGTTATCCATTAATCACTTGAAACTCTCACTTATTAAATACTGTCCATCTCCTAACGATGGCCCTGTGCCTCAGTGTTACCCAACCTACCTTACCTTCCACTTCCTGCTTTTACCTTGCCTCTTCAGCTGCACTTCCCCATGATCAAACTGTGACACTCTCTCTCCTACTGCAGCCCCCTTCCCCACCTCATCTTACCGTGACATGTAATACGTTAACTTTTCACTTCCAGGTTTATAAAGATCTGAATTTCTGTAGCCCTTAGACCTGTTCACACAAATGGTGCGGACAAGATAGCAAAGTATGTATACTATATATGGTGAGCAGCCATCTTATTCTTGTCTCTGCTCCAAGAAGGGGAGGGGAAAGCCACATGATTATATTAGCATACATACAAGCAAGTAAGCCTTACTGATACGCTGGGTCTAGTTTTGCCGAGCAAAGCGCAAGCTCTTGCAGCTTCTTCCTATATATACCAGGACCCAGCCTCCTACAGATGCTGGCATGCAGAGTGCAACAGGAGACAGCATTCATACACATAGCCCACAGGAAAGGAAGAGACAGGGAAGAGACCCCGAGTGGAAACGCCCTACCAATATCCCTTAAAACTTTAACTTACATTATTCCCTAACAATGTCCTTTCCCAGTTTGCCTCCAAGATCCCTGACTCTCAAACTTCACAAAGCTATACTTAAAACGGAATAGGGTCCTAGGACTTGCAAAAAAGTGTTTTATAAGGATTGCTAGAAATTATGAGAACTCCTGCATAGACAAAGAACTAATGCCATTGAACAGCTCAAAGGTTATCACCCCAGCTGTGAAAAACCTAGTGGGATCATCTGTTTATGCTATAATAAAGCCATAGCAAGATGGGCAAACTATATATATAGAAAACATGTACACATTAGCTCTGACAACACCATAGCATTCTGAATTTGGTGGCTATTCAAATATTTTGTTGAAGCACTCAGTACTAAGTATTACAGAATAAGAGCTATTGTGGAAGTATTAAGGTACACTTCTACAGAACACATTGATTTCCAATTTTTCAAGACACTCAAAATTTAAATTTCTAGATATTTAAAATC